TGTTGATAAAGTTGCTACCAAATATACCAATGGAGAGGCTTTGACTTGTGGGTCACTCCTTAATTAAGTTAGGCCCACACATTGTCTTCCTCATGCTCTAATTTTTGGGATTGAGTGCCCCTTATTCGAAGCTTGATCCAAGAGAGTTGGACTTATTGAACTAGAGGTGTAGTGTAGCTACCCATGAGTTGAAATTACACGATATTCAGTTGTATACAGCAGTTATTCAAAAATAATATTTATATTTATATCATATGTTTCTAATTTTTATCATATGTCTATGAAACAATTATAACATATATTTTTAATTAACATTCATCTAACATATTTATATTTTTGAAAGTACATTAATACATACTTATTTATATTTGTTAAAATATTAATTTATCTATAAATATTCAATAATATTATTAATATTAATTATCAATAATTAATATATGTTCTTTGACTATATCAATAATTTTAATTCTCAATAATAATATATCTAAATTTTATTTACTTAATAATAATCAATATATGTTCTTTGATATATCAATAAAAATTTATAATTTATATAACTTAAATAAGTCAATTGTTATATAATTTTAAAAATAATAATAAATCAACATATTGATAATATTATCAATATCAATTTATCAATAATATTATTAATACTAATAATATATAATATATATAATATCTGTATCAAACATAATATATATATATATATATATTATTTTTATTCAATAATAATAAATATAAGTGCAATTTTAGTTTCTATTTTAAGTATATATGTTATAATTTTCATTAGTATGCTAAAAAAAATTCATCAAGTTAGAAGTTAAATGCTAATCCTTATATATAAGAAAAAAAAATTTAAACTTAAATATAAGTAAGTTCTAACTAATTTGACCTTATTTAATGTTATTATTTAAAAAATATTTCTAATATTAAATGTGATTACTCTTTTCAATAAATATTATTAGGGGTAGTTTAGAAAGTAAAATTTAACTTTTATATGAAATTAATAAAATTAAATGAATTAAAATTTTTAAATATATGTGAATTTAGATAATTTTTCTTATATATGAGTTCAGAAGAAGTAATTTTGAAAGTTACAGTATAAGGTTCAATTATCATCTTTTACACAAAAAAATAAAATTACATAGTTATAATATTTGGAAAGATCTAATTTGTTCAATTTAAACTTAAAAGACAAATCCGCATAATTATCATACTTGAGAGGCAAAAATATAATTAATTAACTCA